CAGGGTGAGTGATTTGCCCAAAGTTATACAGCAAGTCCCTGGCAAAGGTGGAACTAGAACCCATGTCTTCTGACTGTCTCATGCTTTAACCTCTTGACCAGACTACCTAGTTTCCTGTAAAAAGCTAGGCCCGCCTTGGTAGTGCAATGAGATTGCAGTGTGCTGGCCTTTACATTGTAGATACTAGCTACGGAGAGATGGTAAAAGTTGCCTTTAGTTCACATCTACCAACTCCTAGTTCTCCGCTTTTGACCCAAAGCCATATCAAAAAGGCAGACTCTGCCATTTAACGGTTGCATTGCTCTTTGACAAGCTGGTGTCTTGGTTCAGTGTTTGGGACAGGAAGACACTGCAAAGTGTCATTCCACACTTCTGCCTGATCCTTTTCAGACAATACAGCCTTTCCCTAGTTTCGGCAGTTTATATTTAGGGACACTGAATCCCTCACCTTTTCTTACTTGTTTTTCAGTACAATTTCAAATCCCTCTCTGTACTTCATAGAATTTCTTCTTCTATCTTCTCATATTGTAAAATGGTTATAAAATGTGTTGTGATTCCTGATTATTTATCTATAACACAAACTCAGGATTTGGGGCTCCTTGATAATGATTCCCTTTATTCTGGCTATAACCTCTCACTCTTGATGGCCAAAGGGCCTTTGGCCAGGGAAGGCTGGCTAAATGGACTTTTCTAAGGCATGTGCCAGCACACAGACACTAGTAGAAGATCTATGATTTAACTGCCCTCCTCTAGATAATTTATATTTAGTTCTCTGTCACACCCTGGTATGGTAGGTCTACCATTTCGAGGCCTAGGAGTGCCCAGATTTGCCACATTGCAATTCTGCTCTGCTGTAGGATATGCATCTCATATTCAAGGAACATGCAACATCTCAATTTATGTTCCCAAAGCTGGGATGCAAAACCTTTCTGGGTTTCTATTGCACCATGAATAGAGCCATCTGCAGTACAGGCTGTCCTTGCCCATTCTGTTATCTTCTTTTGGGATGAGAACTAGCGGTAGTGACCTTTCCACATTAATATTCTGTTTCCTGAACACTGACAGGTTCCAGCTACTGTGTGTACCTAATTCTAGTGACATGCCTTGCCATTCATTGCAGGCAAATGAGCAGCATGGAAAGGCTCATTATCTCCTTGAGGTTTCCCAGTGTTCCCGCTGCTCTCACTTTTCACAACAGTGTTTTCACTCTGACTCAGAAGGTTGCTCTTGGAGGAAATGAAAGGTTTCCTGCCCTGACTAGGGAACAGTGGGGCTTTTCTGTTCTGTTTTTTGGTAATTTGTTATTTTGGGCTGTTCTTCAAGCAGTTCCTTTAAAATCTCCAACTTGTATCATGCAGTAGTGAAAGCAAATTAAGATGAGAGGGACATGTGCAATGGGCTTTGTTCTTTCAAGTGAGTTTAAGGCTTGTGGAAGATGTTGGATTGACACCCCAGAGACTGAAATCCCACAGCACAGGTTCAGGTTGGGTAGGCCAAGCTGGGCCTTGCCAAATATTTCCTGCCTGCTCTGGAGAAACCGTCAATGGGAATCTATTTAATTTTTGGCCTCTCTGAAAGGTGCTGCAAAGTGTCCTGGTGGCTTTTGTGATGTGGAACTTTAGCCACTGAGCTGAGACAACCAGTCAACAGTATGTAGTCCACCAAACTGATATTCAATTGTTTCGAGTGTTGATTGCTACTGACCTGGTTGGATTTGAGCCTGTAACCTAGAAGTGAAAGGCTCAGATCCCCTTTCCAATAATATGGTACCATCCAGCTCTTCATCTGTCCAGATGTTTATGTGCTTTATCCCTTTTGGGTCTAGTAACTGCAGTGTGCTAATGGTAATTTTGGTGTTGGTTCTGCAGAAAGAGGAACTTCAGAATTCCCTCATTTAAAAGCAGACGTTTCAATCAATTGCTGCGCACACAGAAAGATTCCAAAATGTATTCAACAGCTGATGTGATCAAAACCTGGAACCTAACTTTACCTATGCACCACAAATTGAGTCTGTAAACCAGTTCAGTCCATCCCTGCTCAGAGGCATGGTTATAGTTGACTAAGATCTCAATGCATATGGAATCTGCTTGATGGATTATTCTCCTGCCACTCCTGTTGCACATTCTTAGTGACAGTTCTGCACAGGCCTCTAGTTTCCTTCCTGAATCAAGAAGGGGTCTCAGGATCAACATGACAAAATAATCTCCACTTGTGTATTTTAGCTGCAGCTCAGAGACTCCAACTTCTTTAGAAATAGAGAAAGATGATATCTCTGTTCCCCCGCCCCCCCCCCACCACACACACACTCAGTGTTGATTGATAGTGCAATAATATCCAATTTTCCCCACACAGGGTCCCATCTAGACAGATTCTGAAATTTATTGACCACTGAAAAGTTGAAACCAAATGGACTCAATCCTTGGCTTCACTTACTTGACATGGTAAAGGAATGTCATTTCAAATCTATTACCTTACATTCCTACATGTCCACTCTGGCTTAAGTCAAGTATCTAAGCTACTACTGGTTAGGAGGGAAGGTTAGAGGAACTGCCACTTAAATTGTAGTTGCTTTCACTGAGGTTTGCTGCAGCTCCTGCTTTTCTTCCTTCTGACGTGGCTGTCCAAAGGACACAACACTCCCCAGGCACTTTAAAATGTGCTCATTGACTCAAGATGGAATCCCTTCAGACCTCATAGGCCAGAGAGGAGCATCACAAGGCAGGGCGGGCGGGTGCTGGGATAGAACCAGGAAGAAGTCCCGAGGCAACAGTAGGAAAAATGCATGTGCAGTTATGGCATCCACAAACCTATTTTTGTATAAATCTGGTAATCTCTTCAGCAAGGCTATTTGCATGTGCAATTGCCTGATTTGTATGTGTAAAAGTGGGTTACCATACATCCATATATATATTTTAAATGCACATAAAACACTAGAATCCTGTTAATGCTACTCTGAAACCATGGGACTTAAGAATAGTATTTATTGTATTGCCTCATAGTTAAATATTCACTGATGCGTTAAAAAATGTCCGGTGTCTGCAGCACAATAGTGGTCGCGGAATGAATAGATAATTTTCTCCGCCGATGAAATCCGCTCTTGGGTGTCACTATGTCTGTTGGAACTCCCAATGGAGCTGGTGACTGCACAGAGTTAAAAATAGGAGTTGCTCAGTTGCTATTAGTAGCTGAGAGGTTAGAGCCATGCAAAACATTGATTTTTTTTCCCCCCAACATCCGCAAAGGAAAAGTCATGATGCTATAAGGGGGGAATTATTGCTTGCTTTGCCCTAAAACAGCAGCAAAAGAGAGCCTAGAACACTCTTGCACCTGCATGCCCTTAAAATAGAACATCCGTAACACCTGGAAGGTGTCATTAGCACAGAATGTAATTAGGCCCTGAATAGATTGCTTCCCAGGGGTCCACACTCATTAACAAGAACACTTCACCAGAACAATGCACAAAGCAAATTGTGAGACCTGGGCAAAGTCCGAATCCTTCTCACCATGACTCTTACTGGCTTAGCTAAGGGAGGCCACATTTTGGCTCATCTGGTAGAGCTGCTGCCTATGACCACAAGAGTCTTGATTTAGCCTCTTCTATGATCAAATGCAGGAGTCTATCTACCCCCCTTCCCCCCGCCCTCCTAAGAGGAGCCTCTCTACTGATCTCCTGTAGTTTCTGGCCACCTGTTTGGCAAACGCAACACAAACTGCCTGCACAAGAGTCGCATGCAGCTACATCGGATCTGTTTTAGAAAATGAGTCTGAAGAACAGAAGAAGAAAGAGCCATCTGTGATTT